AAAAAAACGAGGGGAAAAAAGGGAAGGGGGGGGGGGGGGGGGGGGGGGGGGTAGTTTACTACAAGGAAGTGTGTGTGTGCGTAGAGAACCTAGCGTGCTCCCCCCTTTCACAGCTGCGAGAGAAACCAAATGTAAACGAAAGAGACAAGGGATCCATCCCCGCTTGGACTCCCCGGAAAGGGAAACCTGATATCATGTGCTTGTATTCACCTTGTGGGGGGGTGTACTACTCGTAGGCGTGCATGCCGTAATGGTCGTCAGGCCATAGACCTCGCACCCCCACAATGCCGGGACGGAGCGATATGCCGGTTTTTCGACGGCCCGGACCTGGCTATGATTCACAAGGAACGATAAGGATGAACCAGAAGTTGGTCGTCATCCTTGCGTTTGCTGTGCCAAACCAGGTCTGTGGGCGGGGGGGGGGGTTGTCTTGGTCGGCTTAGCGGGATACTTCTATCTGTTGGTGGTCACAGCTTGGGTCTCTGTAACTAACTGATGTTGGGTGCTAGGCGTCCACCTTGCACCACTTTTTGTTGTATTCAGGATGGCACCACGCGCTGCTGCTATGTGTGTCCGCAAGCGTTTGATTGTCTTGCGATGAAAGCATCGACTCTACAGGGCGTCGAAACGGTGTTTGGAACCTTCTCCCAATATTGTCCTCCTATGTTTCGCAACGGCCTAGGGTAGTTGAGATGGGGTGCTCAAAAGGTCAATTTCTTTCTCAGAGCCACTCTCTGATAAAGGGGGGAGAGGTACGTGCGTGTAACATATGACGGCTGTGGTTCTTTTCTATAAAAAAAATGTGCAGTGTGTACTGGTGATGCTGTAGTGGTGTTAGACAGCGGTGGGAGAGGAGGGCGTGCCACTGGTAGGAATTGAAAGATAACGGCTACCACTCCGGAGTAATAGGCGGGGGCGGGCGGATGCAACTATTATAGGTGTATTGTTACTGTTGCGGGGAATAATAGTGACAAGATTCCACGTCGCGTTGGGTGGTCCTGGGAACTGTGCAGGAGCGACTAGTGGGAGGAACGTTAGATAAGATGTGCTTGGTTGGAGAGCGGCACCTATTATTTTTATTTTACCTCCGTCGTGCCAGCAACTGGTGGTAATCATTAATTCGTGCGAGGTGGCTGTTCAAGTGAACGCAATACTGATGATCTGATTCGATAGTTAACGCGCCCATCGGGGTTTTGGCGCCCTTCGGTGCAATCGCACAGACTGGTGGGGTGCGCAAACATACCAAGAACGGCGTGAATCAATCCGACTTCCGCGCCGGGGCAATCGGTTTTTGCGAAAAACATCTACTGCTGTATAACCCACCCCCGCTTCGGGCATGCATCGTCAGATTGCGTGCTACCGCAAGAAAGTAGCTCAAGTCCACTCTTTGACCAGCGGTCGGTCGTGAACGTATGTATGTGTGCCTTGCTGCGGATTCCCTGTACCGTAGATCTGCCGGTACACTGGTACCAGTTAGTCACCGCGGTGTTACTCGTCGTCACACCCCGGATGGCCTGCTTAGTACTGCACACCACGCACAGTAGAAGCCCCGTGTATAAGACTGTGGCCGCCGTGTACACGGCATCGCACCTCCTCCTCCTAGTAGTAGTGGAGATACAGACCGCAACCCGACTGACTGGGGGTGCCCTCGAAAAAATCCTAGACTAGAAGAAAATGATTGAGTTGTATTCACGCACTACTGGTACATAATAATAATATATACATGTATATGGGGGGTGTTTGAATTAATTAATTGGTTTTATTAGGTTTGGGGAGTATACATGTTCGGGGTTTCGGCACCGATCCGTACCATGCAATGATTGAATGGATGGGTCCGAACACGAGCGAGCGAGCTCGATCGCACCCACACTCACTCGCCGCATGTTTCCGGTACCGCAGATATTTGAATTTAGTAGGTACAAAGAAGAGGGGACTACATACGCTGCATCAAATACTTGTTGTGCGCCACATCTCCGAGATCACTAGTACTGCTGCTGTAGAAGAGGTTGCTACCTAATTAATCATCTGCGTTCTATCGTCGTGCATAATTTAGCTAGTATGTAGTAGAACAACGTGATGAACGTGCATTGCACAGGTCGTTCGCATCGATGGGACGAAAAAACCGTTGGTGCACGCACCTACACATAGTTTTGGGTGGACATGTCACCATACACCATACACACACCCAGAAAACCGTTCGCAAGGTGACGCAATGCGCATCACAGACCGAAACTCGCTCCTCCTGTGGACTGTGGACCTTCCCTGCCTCCCCGGTGAATCAAGTACCCCCCACTATATTCACCTTTGCGAGCCCCCCTGGAAATCAACATCCTCGTGCATGCCATGTCCCCGCTGCAAGCAGGTAGCAGTGAACAGCAGCACAAACAGCCGTATGCAGGCACTCCGGACGAGCGTGCTGGCCCAGGGCTCTCTGCAGGCGGTCCGAGGAGGAACCCGAGCATCCACTGGGCGAGGATGGTACCAGCGGTACCAACGCATGGGGCCGGACGCTTTCCGCAAAGCCAGAGCTCCCAACCCCTTCGACTGGGACACACCATTAGCACCACCAGCACCAGAGGCCGGGGCGGAAGAACGGCAGCAGGGAGGGAGCGGCAGGAGACGGCCACGACGGCGGGCCTTCTTCGCCATGAGCGTGGACGGCGTGCCCGCAGGGCGCGTGGAGTTTGAGCTGGCGAGCGACCTCCTGCCCGTGACGAGCGAGAACTTCTTGCGGCTGTGCAACGGCGTCACCGTCGCGTCTGCAGCCGGCGAGGCGACGCTGCTGCGACGACAAGAGCAGGCGGGGGGCGGGGCGGCGGTGGAGGAGGAAGCAGTCGAAGAGAAGGAGGAGGAGGAGGAGAAGGAGGAGGAAGAGGAGGAGCTTGGCTACAAGGGCTCCGTGGTGAGTGCGGCTTCCGGCACAGGTTTTTCTAGCGAATGACGTTGTATACCACCCCCCGTGGTACGAATGATGCTGGCCCATTGCCTGCACACATGTTACTCCGGGGTAATATGCATACGTGTATGTACAAATGGTAGGGTGCCGAAAGTGGACCGTCGTATCTTGATCACTTGGGGATAGCTGATACTGCTGTAGTTTGGAAGACATCTAGGGCCGAGATTAAATATTTGCAAGAAAATTACGATTCAGGTCAACGGGGATGTGTTGAAGTCCTCACAGATTTGACTCATGCTGGCGACGAAGAGTTGGGACGAAAACCCTAAATCCCTAATACAAAGTAGTACAGCAGTTAGCGTCCGCAATTGAGAAACGCTTATTTCAGGTCCAGCCTCGAATTCTTATTGTGGGCTATAAACTCAGCGTATGTCGTTCAATTTCTTATGTCAAGTTCCTTATTTTTTCGTGCCGCCAAATCCTGCTGAAGTTCTTATATCGGCAAGTTCTTTTTTTCTCTGCTCACGAGAGTTGGCGGAGAGCACCATCGAAACCGCACAGCAGACAGCATATCGTGGTTCGCAGCCTGTCTGGTGTGCTGTGCCAGAGCCGGAGCGCCAGAGAGCGCCAGAGCCGGCAGGGGGCCGGAGGGGGCGCCGCAAAAGAAACACACTCCCCTCGGCGTACGACTAATAATGCATGGGAGAGGGGGGTAGTGGGAGAGGGGGGAAAGAGCGAGAGATAGGAGGAGCTACGGGGTGTTTCTTGTTCGACACACTCTACCGGTAAACCCTCGTTCCTTACATAGTAGGGCAGCGGTCGCCGCTGTTTCTTATTGAGACATTTCTTATTGTGTGACCCAGACTGAGCCATATTTCCTAACCCTAGGTTCTTATTTTTCGTGGAAAAGTGAGCCTCTATTTCTTAATAAAATATTTCTTTATTGCAGGCGCTAACTGCTGTACTACGGCGCCGTGTACACGTGTGCACATGAGTGCGTGCATGCATGCAGCAGCGTATTTTCAGCTGTAGCATAATCGTATGTACCATGTAGCCGATTAGCTCCAGGTTGTAAAGTATGCTGCTCTATCTTCCAGCTCCACCTGCCAAACAACAAACAACGCGGCTCGCACACACACCGTTAAAGTTTTGAGTTTGGCGCGGCCTGTTGTGCGTGAGCAACTCATCTCTCGGGTTCTCCCCAGCCACCAAGTGTCAAAACAAAACATGCAAGCAGATGCGCGTTTCGTGTGAGCTCGATCAGGTTTTGCGGCACCATGAACAACTCGCTCTGCTCGTATCTACCGTCTTGTACGTATGCACATGTTACCCTCTCCCCAGCGGCTCAACTACCGTTCGCGGCGCCCCTCTCAAGCGTAGACAAGGAGAAAACGCGGATTGAAATAGTGGAAGCGCTGCCTCCTGCCCATTTTTGTCGCGCCGAACAGACGAGATGCTCGATCCGGAACGGGATGGTCGAAAAAATGATGGACCCCCCCCTGTTTTCGAGCCACCTTTCGCAAAGCAGGAATGATTGATAAGCCATCGGCGATCGGTCCTGCTCCCGTCCTCTCGAGGACGCGCGGTCAATGGTCTAACCGCTAAGGAATGCAAAGCACGAGAGTACCCCCACCGTACCCTCCCGGCACCCCAAACGTGGCATATTCCTTCCTGCAGATCCATCGGGTTGTCACCGGCACCGGCATCATGGGTGGCGACGTGGAGGGCTACGGAGGAAAGCGGAGCCACTCTGCCTTCAGCGGCATGCGTTTCTTCCCCGACGAGGCATTCCTCATCCCACACACGTGCGTGTTCCCGTGGGGGGTCTGGCTCTCTGGAGTGACCCTGGGGTGGGACTGGGGTGTTCGATTTTTTCCGTCCCGATCGCGACGATACTTTCTTTTCTCTCTCTCTCTCTCTCTGCGGCTTGCATTCAGCTCACGGCGTTGTGTTTCGTGCCGTGTGTTACAGGTACAATTCGCAAGTAATTGCTGTCGGTGCTTACTGAGTTGTTTGCGCGTAGTTGCTGTTTTCCTGAGAAGCTCTTCCGTATTCCAGTGGCGTTGTACCGTCGTCTTTTTTTTGTTTCCCGCACATGACCGCATGGAAAAGTGTTCCTGGGCCTCCTGAATAGAAACGCAACAGCACGTACTGGATTGAGGTCGGGAAACGCTGCTGGAATGGAAGTATACACCAGTAAGTAGCACAGAGACGCTACTACCTTCGCTGTAGCATATGAAACGCGTAAACGGCACTTGAGTTGTGGTGATCTCTACCTCAACCTACACCCATCTGACACATATTTTTTTGTTTTCTTCCTCTCTTTTTTTCTGTCTTATCTTTTTTTCCCCTTCATATTTGTTATTTTTATCTCCTCCTCGAAAAACAACGCAGCGCGCCCGGCCTCCTCACGATGGCCAACTCCGGGCTGCACACCAACGGCTCGCAGTTCTACATCACCACGGAGGCGGCGGGGCATCTGGACGGACGATCAGTAGCTTTCGGGAGGGTGACCAAGGGGCTGGAGGTAGTGAGGGCCGTCTACGGCATGTACAGCATCAGGGGCAAGCCGGTTTCGGAGATCACGATTGAAGAATGCGGCGAGATTTGAATTTGGCTTGACTTGTTTCGGAGATTTCGATGGCAAAACGCAGGCACTTTGACTTGACTTGACTAGACTTTACAGCGGTTCGGATTCACGATCCCAAGGACCCGGCGGGGGAAGATGACATTGTTGGTTCAACAGAGTCTTGGACTGTTTTTTTGTTGTAAGATCGGAAAAAGGTCCGGCGACGACGCCGAGGTCTTTTACCGTGTCGTTTCGACTATTCCGGCTTGGATTGTCTCCCTACTGCTGTGATTCCTTTTTGGCCAAAAGGTGCCTTGAACATTTTTGCTTTTCTGCTTTCGCTTTTCGCTGGTGTGGGGCGACCCGCGGGCATGTTGGAGACGCAATGCCTCGCGCTTCTTCGTGCGTTGGTGGTTGTGGAACGGGGGAGGTTTGTTGTTGGAGAGGTGGAGGGAGAAACGGTGGCAAGTATCCGAAACGCGAAAATCAAGAGAAGAAGAAATCAGAACGATTTTTTTTGTTGTCGCGTGGATTCACTTCCTTCCTTCCCTGCTTGCCCGCTACGGGCGACGCTGGGAAAAAAAAATCACCGCCTGGATCCCATGTTTGACTCCGAGAGCGACACGCGGCTTGCCTCCGCGAGATATTTAGGGCGAAATGCCGGCGTGTGCCGGGCGTACGGTATCATGGAGGCTGCAGCAGCAATCGACCGCACTTGAGAACTTGAGCACCATTTGTGATGTCCGTTAAGAACTTGAGAACCCCTGTACACCAAAACCTATGAAACCGAAGCGGCCATTCGCAATTTTTTTTTTACCCTAGGAACTTCAGAGTCCCAGCATCGGGCAAAGCTTAAGCTTTCGTAGAGGTTGTTCAAGTGCAGGCGCTACCTGGAGTACAGAATAGAAACAGACGTCTCCGAGTCGAACAATAACCAACAACAACTTTGGGTGCGTTCGTATGCACAACGACCGACCTTTCCCATTTTCCTCACCCCGCTGCTCGTTTATCTTGGTGGGTAGGTTCGGCTGCACACACCACACCCACAATTTCGGTTGTATAGAGAGGCGTTCACGTTTTAGTTGGGGGCGGGTGGCCGCGTCCTTTCTTCCTTGAGAGAAACCCGGGGCCCCGTGAATGAACCAATCCGCGGCAAGGGAAGGTGCTTCGCTCCCGTGTGGGTATGAATCGTTGGGGGGAGCTGCTGCTGCCAT